CCCTCTCTCATAACCCTCCACTAGAGCCAACAAAACCTTAAAAAAAAATTAAAACATATTTTGGCCTCCAGAATCATAACCGGTCATTGCTGCATCTGCGTATACTAGTGGAAGGTTGAGTGGAAGGAAAAAGTGTAACATTTGTCATTTTCAGCAGCACATGGCACCTGGACACACTGCAATAACAACTGAAACCAACTTTTCTTAATTCATAAAGACTCAAAAAACACAACAAAATTTATTTAAGGCCTAAACAAGTAGAGCCTGCATATATTTAACACTTCAGCAGAACCGCAGGCTGATCAACTTTCTCTATTCATGAGACTGGATAGCAGCACCTCTGAACAGAAGTTTTGACATTTTCCTATTAGAATCCTTTTATATTGCGTAACTTTGAGTTTTTGTTTTAACCTATTATTGAAATAATCATCAACTTATCTAGTAATTGATTTATTGCTAACTAAAATATACACTAGAAAAAAGGCATTTGAGCCAAAACTGTAGAAAAATATATAAATTTTGGCTTTAAAAAAGAAAAAAAAACCCTCGTCTGTAAATATGTTTTACCCACAATTCCTCACTGGTTCAGATTTTGTTGTCTTGATGGATGCACAACATGTTGGCACCAACATTGGTGTAAATCTGGGCCGATATGATCAACCAATGTTTATTTTTTTTTCTTTTTGCCGTCTGCTTCTAAAGATGTTTAAATGATTGTGAAATATATATAATATTGGTTATTTAATTTTCCTGTGGATTCAATAATTTGAATATATCGGCCATAAAAACAATATTAATGTCCGAGATCAACATTGACCCAAACTTTCATTTTGGCGCATTCTTAATGTCTAATATTGTATTAAATAGTTCAATGAAAAACTATCAGAATGTTCCAGTTTCTAAGGTCAGAATAATTGATTAGTAAAATAATGGATAGTTGCTGCTCTAATCCTATGAAAATGAACTGAACTCGTATGGTTTTAGTGATTTTCTAACTCGTAGATCCAACCTGTTGTTGGCTGCAGGTGGAGAAGGGTCAGCCGCTGTGTGTCCTGTCGGCCATGAAGATGGAGACGGTGGTCAACTCCCCCGTGAGCGGGACCGTCAAGGCGGTCCACGTGGAGCCGGAGGCGTCCCTGGAGGGAGACGACCTGATCCTGGAGATCGAGGAGTAGAGCGAGGAAGAGAGGGAGAAGGAGGAAGATGGGGAGGGGAAGGGGGAGGTAGTAGAGCCGGCCCTCGGTTTGTAAATATTAACGTTTAGCGAAGCTCTATGCATATCCTGACACCCGACGGATGTAGAAACAGCTTCACTGAATATTTCAGGAGTGAGCTTTTAACTAGACCTGCGATACATTCCACTGCATAGTCTTAACTACAAAGAGTTAACCAAGTGAAACAATAACAGGGTCACAAAACGCCGACTTGAAATGAACACTTCCCGCTTCGTCTGACGCCGTTTCCATAGACCAGACTGACTCGGTTCGGTGTTTGTAGCCAGCAGTGATCTCAAAATATCATGGGAACATTCATCCTCACCTTTTGCAAGAATTTGAATCCCTGAAAGTCGCGGTGCATTCTGGGAATGTGTAATCACTGCAAGAGATTCATTCACAGAGCACAACGAGGACGGCTATTCCAACAGAAAACAACCAACAAATCCTGTTGCTGCATCAGTAACAGCATTGGAGCCCCTAATAAAATCCGAGTTATTCGTTTTAAAATGTCCAAACGGGCCGTTTCAGAACCGCTTCAGCCCAACCTATCATATCGTCTGAGGTCTCTGGTGGCATAAAACAAGTTTTGCCCTTTTCTCTTTACAGCCAGGAAGCAATGAGCAGTTTTTATGGGGATTTTTAATGCTTGGTTTAAATAGGATTACAGCATGTCACTGTAATGGGGTCACATGTTCTTTTTTTTCCTTACCCCCCTCCCCCTCTATGAATAAATTGTCACTCAAATGATGTGAAATTAGCCGGGCTAATAGGAGGCCCTGGAGACTCCTGCTTGTCGTTATATTTCTGCGGCGTGTGTGTGTGTTTGAATAAACAAGTCAAATCTGAGGACGAACTCCATGAGTCCTCTGCAGCACACCCCCTGAGATAAAAACCCATTCAAATCAGAGATGAAATATTCATGCTCACACACGCGCCTGCTCAAAAAATATTCCTGCTGGCCCCTGTGTGCCGCAGGAAAACAAAGGCAAGCTCTGCAAAGAGGGCGTGTCCCGGTAAAGACATGGAGATTAAATCACAGAATGAGTCTTAAAGTCGGTCATTCGGTGTTGAAGCTCGTCCTGGATGAATGTTTAAACACCCCTAAAGCACAGCTTGGAAACAAAGTGGTTGCATATTTTTCTACTGTTAACAAGTGAAGCAGAGGAAGTTTGAGGAAAGGCAGAAACATGAAACTGACGCTTCATTTTGTGCTGAGTCAGCAGACTTTGTGTTTGTTTTAAGCAGATGAAGACAGGATGACCGTTCTTGATTTGTTCCCTCCTCCTCTTCTCCTTACTTCCCCCTCTACCTCATGTCTTCTCCCAACCATTTGCTTACAACATATTTGCACATGCAAGACGTCAATTGATGCAATAAATGTAAACTGTACCGTAACTCTGTCCGTCGCAGCCAGCAGTGGCTCTTTAATGGCCTCACTCTCATGATGTACCCATATCTGTGAAAGAAAAATAAACTGGAGTAAAAGCAAAATCAGCTTCACCTTTTTTTGTTGTTGTATAACGCTACACTCCTCCTACATGTAAATGGTTTCATAAAATTGTGAAGATTCTCAAGATTTTTGTTTTCGTCTTAAAGAAGCTGAGAAATAACTTAATTTGAAGACTAACTTTTGCTAAAGCTAACTACAGTGACTAAATTATTGGAACATTTCCTGAATTTCTCAAAACTTAGGGCTGGACAATAATCGATAAGGATATATATCGCGACAGATATGTGGAGTCTATTGCTATATATACCATCCTATCCTAGAATATTCTGATCCAGAATCGCACAGCATTCTGGGAGATGTAGGCAGATGTAGGCACCAGCCTTGCTAGCTAAACAAGGCTGGTGGAATCTACTAACTCACTAACTCACTCTTTGGTTACCGAGCAACTCATTCTTTGGTTACCTAGCAACAACCTGTAGAGTAACTGGCGCAGCAGAAGTTTAAGATTTCACCACTGTGCCTCTTGACTGCTTAAAAACAGATAATGCGGAGTAAAAACTGCGGATAAGACGGGAAAGGTCACACCACCGGTTTGGCAGATATTTAAAACAAAAACTTTATCGATAACGATCGATGTCGACCGATACAACACGCTTCTATCGCAATATAATGTGTATTGTCCAGCCCTAACAGAGCATGTTTAAAAAAATATTAGTTTAGGAAGCTGAAATGGATGCAATGCTAGTTGATACGCGATTGGCTGGTGTTTGCAAAGCAGTGAATCATTTTCCTGATGCTAATTAGCACCAAGGAAGATGGTGCCAATCCACTAACACGGTTTCTACTCTGTGTATTGATGCGTACTTGAGTATATTTGGTGTTTGAACTATTAAAATAAGCTGCTACGAGCATTTCTGGGCGAATTACTATGGTAGTGATTTACAAGCAGCGTGCTGGAGCTCGTTTCCTCCGTTGTGGAGCCAGGCCAGCCGCCTGCTCATCAGTATTCAGCCTCTGTCCGCCTCTGAAGGATTTCCTTTGCCTGGTGCTGTTCCCAAACAAGTGAAGCCCTGTGTGCTCAGATGTGGATCTGCTGACACCGTGTTGTCTTTAAGCTAATTCTGGAGATCATCTGATACGGTGCTTATTACCCACTCTTAATCAGTCTAGTCTGTCACTAAACTGGCACTATTGATCAGCTCAAAGTGTTTGATTGGTGGCGAAGCTGATCAAATGTTTGCAGTAGGAACTGCTCAGAAACGGAGCGCTCTCACCTCTGTGCAGAGAGGAAACGCTGGCAGAGTTGAACAATATCCTGACGTGTAATTGGGATCAGATAGAAGCGCAGCCGCTATTTTCTGACGTTATGTGTTTTGACCCATTTATTTAATGAGCAAGATGACGGCTTTGATATCAGATTTCCATAAATGAATTGAGAGCCAGAGGGCAGCCTGGCTGATAACGGGGGACAAAGCAATAATTGAATCAGTTTGCTGCATTCATCCAGTTTCAGATGAACGGAGATAAAATAAAAAAACTTCCAGATTCTTCTCAGGGCGTGAATGAAACCAGACGACTTCCTGAACTGCTATCCTCGTGAAGATGAAGTAAACAAATAAACACACTTTACATATAAAGTCAAGTAAAAATGATCTGCAGCACCTTGCAGTGCGTATTTGAAGTGGAGGGGAAAAGATGCACTGTTTTCAAAACTGTTTGCAACTAAAAATATTAAAATTGTGATTTGTATTCACTTTTATACCCCAAATGAAAACCAGATAAACCCATTACCAATCTGTTATAGCCTAGTTAGTGAAGAGTCTGCCTTTCTATCATTTAACTTCAACATAAATCCAGATGTTCTTGAGGCTCTTGATCAGGGGCGTCAAACTCACTTTCATTTTGGGCCAAATCAAAAATCTGAATGTTCATAAAGGGCCGGTTGCACCAGAATGCATTGATAAAACCAATTAAACTGTTGAATCTAGACCTTTGCAGACACACTCAGACCAACAGGATTGACCATGATGCGTTTTTGAAAGAACAGGTCAAAATTTTAGATATACCCCCAAAAACATTGCAAAAAAATGATAGAGCCACTCATTCATCCATTTTCCTTCTGATTCAGAAGTGTGCGTTAGTCCGTCACATGTGCACACATTGAAGTGTGTTGCTGTAATGTAATAAACTGTGGAAAAAGTTCACAGGGTGTGAATACTTCTGCAAAGTGTGTGTGGCTGCTTGCAGCTTCCACCAACTGAAAAGAGTCGCTGATTGATGATTGGCGTTCATTAAAGATTGAAACACATTTACAACAACAAAAGAGTCCTAAATTCTCTCTAATGAGGCCTCCGGTGGCTTCCTTGTAGTCGAAGCATTAATTTGTTTTAACTGAATATTCATGCACTTTTGATGATCACATTAATGGAAGGCCTATTAATCTACAATAACAAATTAATCTATTCCAAATCAAAAAAGAAAAAAAGAATGGAAAGCCTTTTATCGTCAGTCCTTTGTGTCGTTTGTGGAAAATAACTCTGCAAAGGAGCACATGCTGTCGCTTCTGTGTCTGTTTATGTCTGCTGTAAAAACTACAACCAAGCCAGATGTCCAGGTTTTTTCCTCCAGGTGTTTTTGTAAACACTTCAGTATCAGACCACAGTCTGCCAAGAGCCCTGAGGGACGCCTCCAAAGAAATCCTGTCGTTCCCCAACACAGGTTATATAAAGTAGACATTTTATAAGGAAGTGATGTACTCATATTTTGTCCCCAATCGGTATTCACCCAGCAGCTGAACAGAGCTCAAATGTCATATTTCATTCAATGTAAATATGTTTTTATGTCTCCAAATACTTTCCCTACTGTCCTGAATCCGGCCTGTCCTCCAACAGGGTTTTTATTTATTTGTTTCTGGAAAGTTGGATTATTTATGACAGGCAGCCAGCTCACTGAATGACATCTGCACATCATTTCTTTCAACTGCAGGACTCTGAAAACTTTAGCAAGCTGCTGCCAAGAGGCAAAACTGCCTATAAGTCGTGTCACTTAACTCTTTTTATAACTCTACATCCACACTGCAAAAAAACAAAAACAGAACAAAAACAACATCTTATCAAGTAATTCTGGTCTAGTTTCTTGTGTTACTTCAGGTACACCTGAAATAAAATACTAACTTATACTTTTTGTGAGATTATTTCACTTATAACAGGGGAAATATGTTGTTATAAGTGAAATAATCTGCTTTGGTTAATCAATATTAAGGAATTAGTGACTTGTATTGTATGTATTAAGTCAGTTTTGTCTTATTTCATGTGTAATAGATCAAACTAGATCAAATTTAGTTGGTAAGATTTTGTGTTTCTGCAGCGCCGAAGTGGCTCATCTGTTTTCGGGCAACAATAGACAAACAATAGATGTGAGATTGTTCACATTGTCCTTCTTGGTCGTCTTTGAGCTGCTGAACAACTTTGCACTTCCAATTAGGTTTGCTGCTGTGCGCCATGTTTTCACTGCAGTACTAGAAAACACACTTACTGGAGAAGAGGCGTCCTCGCCGTTTGCTGACCAACAGAAACTGTCACTGCCACACAGTTCACTTCAGTCCATTATCTGAAAATGGAAAGTGTGTGGTCATAACTGGAAATCTACCAATACATGGCCGCCCGCTTGAACTGACAGGTCAGAGAAGAAGAAGAAGAGAGGGAGGAAGCTAGGATCCACAGCTCCGGTGGGAGAATCTGCCCACTTCAAAACTGGGTCATGAACTCCAGGAATCTGTTTCTATGGACCAGAGGCGAGTAGAAAGCCTCTATTGGAACAAATCTATAAGAAACCCTGATTAAAGTTTGAAACAAGCAAACGTGGAAAAAGACAGAAGCTAAAAGCCTAGCATCAACACGGACATACTCAGTCTTCTTAAAGGGACGGTGTCTTTTGTTGTTGTTGAAATGCTGTGTGAAAAGTTACCTCTGATTTTTGTTTTTAGAGGTTTATGTTTGAGTGAAGTTAACATTGTTTGTTTATTCTATGAACTACTGACAACATGTCTCAGAAATTCGATCAAACATTTAGTATTTATTTGCAGAAAACAAGGAACGGTCAAAATAGCCAAAGAGATGCAGCGCTTTCAGACCTCAAATAATGCAAAGAAAACAAGTTCATATTAATTTAGAAACAACAAAACTAATGTTTTAACTCAGGAAGAGTTCAGAAATTAATATTTGGTGGAATAACCAGGAGGTTTTCAACAGGGCTCAGTGGGCTCTTCATTTCTTTCCAGATCTGCATGTTATTATTGTGGGGAGGATTTCTTCAGCTGGGAAAAGGAAAGATGGAAGGAGATTAAAACTGGAAGATCCTGTTAGATTGGGTCTGCAAAAGACTCGACATATTTCAGTTTTAATTGTAGAAAAAATTAAATCTATCCAGCACTACTTTGTGAAAACAAATTGATGCGTGTAGCTGTGCCGCAGCAACACACACATGCAGCCGTCTGAAGGCTCTTGCATGTGGATCTGTGTGATGGGAATTACTGAAAGCTGACTGGAAGCAGGCGTGTAAAACTGATCCAAGGTAAGAAGCCGAGGAGACGCAGACTTCAGCCTGCAGACTGGAGCTTTGACCGATTAAAGCCTGATTGAGGCAAATTAAGTAGATTCATGTTAAGACAAGTGCAGCATCAGCACTTCTTTGGAAGCTCTTCTCACTGCAGGGTGCATTCCTCAGCAACTATTTATGGATGTGTACAGCAAGTTTGTGTTTTTAATTCCCACCGGCCTTCACTGTGTGTACCTTTGCCCTGTTTTAACAGCTAAAGAGATAAAAAAAATAAAAAAAATGTACCAACATTTTCACTGCTTATTGTATTTAAATGGAAGAAATGAGCTTAAATTTTAGGGGAGACTGAGGTAAGTCGAGCCCCTTGTTTCTAGAAAACGGTAAGAAAACATTGATCATATGACCAAATAGCTTGGAGAAATCATCATTTAATGAGTTTGTGAATGTAAAAGCCTCCTGGGTAAAGTGGTTAGTCCGTTTTATTATT